TTACCTGTCTAGCATCAGCCTGGGACAGGATGGCACTGGCAGCCTCCAGTGGCTTTACTACCTCAATACTTGCTGGACTTCGTAGAGCAAGGGCCGTGGGGGAGTTGAGTGGTGACACAATGAAACTTGGGCTATCTAAAATTGTGATCTGTTTGTCCAAGGGAACAGCCTGCATACTCCTTGTAAGCCCCATGGATATACCAACGTTACATACTCGTTCACGTTTTAAGCTATTAATAATGCTGCTTTTCCCCACATTTGGGAAACCAATTACTCCCACCTGGATAGGCTTGCGATAAGTCTCCTGAAAACCTTCAAGAAGTTTACAAAGACCCTCTTTGCCAAAGCAGAAACTGCTTTTCGGTGAGACAGCTTTCGTCTTTACCTTCACCTTGCTTATTCTCCTTCTATCCTTTGGATTTGTTGAGGCTTTGAACATTACAGTTGGCAATTCTTTTGTCAAATAATTCAGCCACTTCTCCAAATTCTCCTTTGGTATTAGATCTGATTTATTTAGTATGAGTACCAGCTTTTTATGCCCACTCTTGACAATCACCTCTTCTACCTGAGGACATCTGCAACCAAGAGGGTCTCTGGCATCTAACACCTCTAGTAAAACATCTGAGGCCTCAATCACCTTTTTAAGTTCCTGACAATGTACTGCCTTTGGATTCTGTTTGGTCAGCTTGGCTCTCTTAGTTTTGCTTTGTCCAAATTCCTCCACAGATTCAATATTAGATGGCTCATCAGCAGGGTCAGTTTCAAGTTTTCTTTTCTTGTCTTGTTCCTTCTGCCTATCAAGTTTCTGTTGCTGTTTTGGTTCTTCAAGCTGCTGTTTTCTTAGCTCAGCTTCCCGAAGAAGTGCCTCCTTAAAAGGAGCACTATTAGGAATTCCGGGGTCTTTCCTAGGCTTCTTGTGACCCCGTTTTTTGGCCTCCTTCCTCAATTTTCGATGGTGCTCTCGAACCTTTTTCTGAATTTTATACCGTTTATGGCAAGTCATGCGTTTACTCGCTTTCTTTAACTTCGGCCGTTTCATGCTGGCAGCGGAGAGACGGCAGGCCACACAGCAGCAGGAACAAGGTGACTCCGCGGGCGCCACGTGCCAATTGAGGTCCCGGACGAAGACGTGTCTAACAAGCAATTCTGAAAAAGGTAAGTTCCTCTGTCATTGAGGTAATGACACAAACACACACACACACACACACACACACACTTGTGTATACACCTGTGCATGCACACACACATGCACACACAAACATGCACGTATCAAACCTAAGGTCATAGGAACTGAAGACATACAAGTACAATTGGAGGCTCAGACGCAGGACGATGTCAGGGTCAAACAAGTATCAGTACCATCTGGATGACTGTGGCATCCTAGAATGAAGATGCTACAATGTTCCATTACATCTGCATTCTGTAGTCTTTGTATCTCTTATAAGCATTAGTCCATTTGAAAAGGGGCTCAACATAATTAACTCAGAGGCAATGGAGTATTCCCCGTTTTGATCTCAAAATCAACTTTCAAGAAATTTTATTCTGAAAAATCTCTCCAAGCCAGAATCTAATGAGGAACTCAAACAGCGTGGATGTATTCAGCCTAATGTCTGCCGCCTTCTCCTGGGCACCAGCTCTCATAAGACCATCTCTACACATCGCCATTAGTCTGCTCTAAGAAAATACTGAATAAGATTACAAGTGAATAGGTTTTTATCTAATGAGATCGTGTATTATCATTCATAGCATGTGTGAATTGATAGCAGTGTTCTATTTAAAAATTATTTTTATTGGGACATGTTTGTAATACATTATAATTATATTTATCATGGAGAATTGATACATGTACATAATGTTTCTCAATTATGTAGAACAGCTTCCCA